AGAATAGAAGAGGAAAGTAATGACACAGGTGAATTTTGTAAACAATTCACCGAAGAAATGTCATTTATTGAATGGTTTGAGAAGATTTTCCGGAGTTGAAACATGTACAACACACACATACAAAAAAAAAAAAACCATATCGAGATGTTTATATAACAACTTGACCGGAATGAAACCGGAATTTAAAGGAGATGCTGAGGATAAATGAAGGTGAGATATATCTAATTAAGAGAAATGAACATGGATTAAGTGAGAACTAACAATTAAATGTAATTCACGCAAGGAATGAGTTATCATAGCATAAGATTCTATGATGATTTTATTTTTACGATCATTGCTGGACAAAAGCCTATTCGTTGGTGACAGCAACGATGTTCAGGTTCGGTATGGAAATGTAGGACATTGGTTTGTTGGGTCTGATAACCCGCTGAACAGGATGGGCAAATTAATGAAGTTCCAATAAGGAAATAGTGGTAGCTTCCTTGTCCTGATATTTTTTAGAGGACGATCTCCCAAAGGACGTCGAAATATCCTGTCGGCTACCTACCGGGTGCAATAGTAACTTTCGTGCGGGGAAAGGACTTCCCTTCCATTTGCATAATTGAACTGTGTCATGTCGTTAAATAAAATGAATTTTAAGCCTAGTTAAAAGCTTATCCAGTAATACTAAGAATGAGACTTTTTTGTTCCTACCCACTCCATTTCATATTCTTTTATTTTCAACCAAAGTTAAGGACGATTACGAGATCTTAATCGTTATTATTTTTTCTATAATTACATGAGCATTTCTTTCATAACATAAATAATAATCAAAGATATATTTATTGATTAATTTGAAAGAAAATATATTCATGGAGGTCACTCAGATTTAAAATTCAGGAAAAATCATCCGATCGTTTAACTGCTAAAGTTTTTTGTAACTTAGAAAGCTCAAACGGAAACTTTTCAGATGAATGTTGAAACAATTAAAAAGGAAAAGCGATTGACTATATTTGATCAATATAAATTAACAAATTGACCAATAATTTTAGAAACTATACTAATCAACTTACAAGATATCAGAGATTTAACTGAACATTATTATTCAGAGATCGATAATATAAGCCTTTTTTAAAAGAACACATGCATAATTACGCTTGACATAGTTATGTCACCAATAACAGACATGATATGATAATATGATTTTAATGGGAGAAAAGTAAAAACTGATTGAGAGATAATTTTAAAAAGCTCATTACAGTATGCTGTATTTCAAAAATAAATTGATTACCAGAAGATAGTGGAGAGTTTTTCAAATATGTTAAAGGTACAGTTTTTCTTAAATTCTTTTTTTTTTCATTCTTTCCGGGAATTATTTAGTGGAAGAGAGTGAAGTGAAATTTCTTGGCAACTGATTTATGAAGCTTGATTACCCCGAAAAAGAGGAAAACATTATAAACTCTCGTTATTCTAAGCACAATGATGAAATGAAGGATGAACTTCGTATATTGGGTTGTTATGAAAAATTTTCAAACAAACAATCAAT